CCATACACAACAAGAAGCCCCACGATGAGACTGTGATCTATGAAGGGCTCTACCACCATTGTCAAAACATCTTCTCCAAGAGCCACTCCGCATGCTGATTGTTTTCTCTTTACCTGTTCATTATAAAATTAACCACTGTGAATTAGCCTAACCGTGATGTGCGTTTAAACTAACCTAAATAATAGATCAAGCCGTGTTCTATTTATAAATGAAAAACTCAAAAGTAAAAATTAAATTTACCTCTGCAACTAATCTTCCAGACTTGTCTAGTATCTTGTAGGATGACTTGCTGCTCAAGCTTTCTATTCTGTATTGCTGTGGTTGGTTCTTGTCTTGCCCTACAGTAACCCTACACTGTGACCTCCCTCTACACAACCTAAATTTTTGTCTAACTTGAAAACAAGGCCTTTCTGGGTTGGCCTCTTTACCTGTGGATCTGTAGCCCTCCCAAAGACCAAGCAATCTGAATTTCTGCATAAGAAATTAGACCACATATTATTATCAGCAAAATAAGTGTATAGTCTAACTCCTCAAAACTATGCTGTTATAACTAGCTGCAATTGGATTTACCTTTCTCAGTATGGTGAATAGGATTTTGCCTTTCAAATCCATAAGATAAACTTTACCTCTGCATTTGCAGTCATAGTTATCTACACGATACACAATTCGACCGTTCGAATCGAAGACAGTGCAACCATAGCTGTTCAGTATGAGAGACTTCATCCATATGGTGAATGTTTCTTGTTTTGAAGTGAAGTATTCAGTAGAGGAAGAGGAAAATGGGGCCTGAGGGTGAATCTTCGCCATGATCAAACAAGTTGGAATTTTTTTTTTAAAGAAATGGAGGTTGAATGTTTCATTCAGCGCACCAACTAAGAGATTTTATATGCTGAAAAGCACAAGCATGTACTTAGGAAGCTACAGTGAAAAGAAACTAAAAAATAATTAAAAAACTAATAAATATATGATTATGATTATAATTTGGATTATGACATTGCTGCGCATGAGTTTGAAGATGTGCACAGTGCATGACAGAATGAATGGAAAAGTTCTAATATTGTATTCTCCTATTCTGTTTTATTTCTCAACTTTTTCTTAGGAATTACTCAAACACACCCAAAAAGGGTAGTTTAAAACCAATTTTAATACCCAATTGTCTTAATATAATTACATAATTAATTTGAATCTTATCACTAACTAGTCACAAGTTCACAATTGCTTTGCCCTATGTCATTCTGGGCTTTCACTGTAGCTGTCTGGAGTTCAGCTCATCAGCTCACCAACCCAAGTCTCAAAATATATATATATATATATATATAATTTTAATACCCAATTGTCTTAATATAATTACATAATTAATTTGAATCTTATCACTAACTAGTCACAAGTTCACAATTGCTTTGCCCTATGTCATTCTGGGCTTTCACTGTAGCTGTCTGGAGTTCAGCTCATCAGCTCACCAACCCAAGTCTCAATATATATATATATATATATATATTATTTATTTATTCTTTCATCTGAATGTCCACACATCATTATCATGTGGATGCCATTGTAAATAGAGAGGAAACTACGGAGGACTAGTAGAAAATACAATATAAATTCGTTCTCTGACTCATTCTATATGGCTCACCATGTCCTAAAATAAGCCAAGATACGATTTGGTTTGGTTTCAAACTAACTGAAAAAGAAAAAAAAAATCAAACTTGAAACTTATTTTCAAGAATTCTGAAAGTTTTGCTTTGTCTGATCACGACCTTTACTTTTGGCAAATAAAGCCACAAGCATATATACAGATTTCTGAGGGGAGTAGGTTGGAAATAATCACTAGAATTTCATAGCTAAGTGGCTAATTGCACACATTCCTAGTGATTTTCACATTTTTGTATGCACTTGGCTGCCTGCAGATAGTCGACAAAAATGTGTCTGCAAAATGAGTCTGCTTGGGGAGCCTACTGAGACATTTATAGCATGCTCCTCAAATATGTTAATAAACCAAGAAAAGCCCCCATTAAATTAAAATTTGGAATTGGTCTACATCTGATGTATATTTAATTCAAAGGATACGTAAAATCTGCATTTTTGTTGATGTAAAATGAGGTCCAAGAATCTATAGGGAAATCCTGGCCGGTATTTTTGACAGGCCTGAATGTTTCTTTCTGATTATTTTAACTAATTGTTTCTTTTATTGTGATTGGATAAGTATCAGCCAGTCAGAGACTTAGAGAAGAAATTATAATTGATTGGCTTGGCTGTGACTTATCTTGTAAATCACATATTAATACAATAGATTTATTTTATGGAGTTTATCTGCATGCTTTCTTTAATACCTGGTACCTTTATCTAATTGGTAACTGGGGTTGATATCAGAACATTCCAAGCCGCCATTCGATTCTCATCCACTGATGCTACTTCAGTTTCTTCAATAGAAGACTAGATAAGTGCATAAATTAAGCAGCATGAAGGGATGTTGAGTGTTTAACTAAGACTAGCATAAGACTAGCATAAGACTGACTTGATCTGGCTTAGCCATAATTAGCCACTAATTTTGCCTTCATTATGTGGAACTAAAGCCAGGCCAACGAGGTCTAGTCTAGTGGAAAAATGCCTTAATTTGCAGAACTCGAGGTCTCAGGTACGAATCTCCACAGTATCATAGTTGTGTGTGTGTGAGAAATGCCCCTCCCCTATAGTGTAGACTATCACTTGTGTTAAAAAAAAAATTAAAAATTAAAAAAATTCATGATTTCCAATTCCCATTGACTTCCATGTCTGCTTGATTTAAAAGAAAATAAAGATTTTTTTTTTTGGGGGGG